ACAATCGGCGTAGTTGACAGGTGTACAGAATGCAAGACTGTTCCAAACGGTTTGTAGGCAAACTTTAATTGCACTTATGCTCAGTTGTTGTTATTGACAGACCAATCATTGCAAAGTGAAGCTACCTATATATGTTTGTGCTTTTGTTTCATTTGTGAAGGTTCCACTTTTTCTGGCCAGGCGCTCGCCAGACGTGGTCTCGCTTGCCGGAAGGCGATGGAAACGTGCTCTCCCATCGGGTCTCCGGGTGGGTGCTCAATACTCTTCTTTGAACTCAATACTCTTGCCATGGACTGCAAGAAGAACTTGTGTTTTTTTGTTGGATACCTATATTACTATTACGTACCTACAGACCTACCATGGGTACCGAAATTACCTATATTGCTTAGAGCTGCCATGGGTCTGCTAAAAAGGGTGTTCTTTGCCTCAGCTTTGAAACTCTCCATGACTTTGTGGATCAAAAGAAGTGGTTGGGGCTGCAGCAGGCTTAGGGTTCAGTTTAGGCTATCGATTCGCAGCGAAGGAGCATTTCCCATCCCCAGTCTGACGGATTCTGGTGTTGGATATCCAGAGTATCTAAGAAACTGGATAGATCTTAGAGATCTGGATAGTCTGGATTCACTGGATACCTAACAGAAATTAGACACTGGATACTTAAGCTAAGAATCACTGGATTCACTTTCACTCCTCCGAACCGCCAGGTGAGCCGCCGGGACATCGCTCAGGTGCTCGCCCAGAAGCAGGTCTGGAAGCGTCTTCGTTGTCACGGAGTCCAGATAGACACGGTATGTGTTGATGTCAGACTGTCATAAGAAGGAAGTAAGCGAAGGCTTCCGAAGGACGGTGTGTTTTGGATTCGGTCTTCAAACAGCTGCGACGTCGGACGGACCGAGACGTCCGGTTCCGAGGTGCGAAGCACTTCCGAATGTAACGCCAGGATGGAGCGACCACGGTCTCGGCCACCATGATCTTTGCCCACCAGGTGAAGCCACCAGGATGATGGGAACACATAATGCGCATTATGAATGATGATATTTCAAGAGTGGATGGAAGACACATGATTATATGATAACAGCCGTGTCTGAGAGCGGTCAAAGTGGAGGGGCACACTCTGCAAAAGGCTGTGGTTTGTGGCAAAGGCCCCAAATGCCTGCGAAGTGGGCAGAGGATTGTAGCAGGTCATACATCGCACAAGTCGGCTGAGTGGAGGCTCATTTGGTCTTTTTTGGACATATTTGGACAAGTATCAGACAGAAAAATGGGTTTATGGGCCTATGATGGCCTATGGGTCTTTTCCTTCGGCCTATGAGGCGTGACTGGTAGAAGACACTGACAGGCAGTTCCACCTTACAGACACTGACACCGCAGTGCCAGGCTGGAATCTCCATCTTCGTGACCGGCGGCATCGGCGGAGTTCATCGAGGAGACGCCTCGGACGCCCGGACGCTCGGTTGGGGTGTCCGAGCAGGTGTTTGGAGGTTGGACTAGGAATGGTCACTGAAGAAGCTGGGGGTTGGACACGAACTCCCAGCAATGTATTGATTGGTTTGGGGGCCTAAAGGTGGAGATTGGTGAGCAAGATCATCTCCTGGTCACTTGTTCATTTTGTGGCATTTGCAGGGTTTGTGCGCCCTTCCGCTTGGAGGATTCATCCTACTTAGTATACAGTATATAATATGTAATTGATAAACATGTTCCATGGTTCCATGGTTCCAACCCTGGCCGCAACGGTTGGAGCAAGTCACTAAAGATCACGCCTGGCCGCCTGGCCGCCGGATCCATCGTGAAACCTCACGTCCCTTCTGTCGTCCCTTCCGTCGTCCACAGGTCTCGGCCGACCTCACGGAGCTCGGGCACCTCGGCGGTGGAACGCCACAGGTCCGGGGGTGGTCTCGTTGGAAGTGCCCTGTGGATTTGCTCCGGACTTCTGAAGATCCCCCATGGATCATCATGGATCATCAGGAATCAGCGGAGGTAGGACTTTTTTCGAACTTGACAGCGCCAGAAGATGACCAAGTGAGCACTCTTGGAGATGGTTGAACGGTTGGAAGATTCTCCGGGTCTTCTTTCTGTAGACTTCTAGACAATGAATCAAATCTGCACAAGTTTAGCTGCTTGGAGGATCAGACTATAGAGAAAGAACTTGTAGATTCTGGTAGTAAAATATAGGCTTAGAGCTTAGTTTGGACGTGGTGGCACTTTGCATGTCTCCTGTAGGTAGACATGTACTGTGTTTGGGCAACGAGTCCCTATCACCATAATCATGGGTACAGCTACTGTATTTTAAAGCCTTTCGTGCCGAAAGCAACAATTTCAGATTGAACCCCCGACAAGACATGGGACAACTCCCAATCGGTCGACGACTGTCCTCGCTGGCCATGCTATCTACTTCTGTGTTGGTTGGAAAGAGGAGCAAGGACGCTACTAGGGGCTCCTGGCATCGCTAATAGGAGCAAGGACGCTACTAGGAAAAACCATCATCCCAAATCGTACAAAACCTGTTCGTCACGATGCCTAACCGCCCGAAAGGCGGCCAGGGACCTCCTGCAGACCTAAGGCGTACCCCGATGTGCGTGGTGTGTGCTGGAGCGAAGAGCATCCTTGATTTGCCCAGGAGTTGGGAGCCGCAAGTTGTTTTGGTCCCTGGATCAGGTCACTCTACTTCAGTTTCAAGATGTTTCAAGTATTCTCCTGCCACCAGAAGATGGCTTTATCCACCCTTGAAGAGTAGGGACATGTAAACTTCACACAGGAGACGCATGAGGGACACACACACACACATACATATATATAGATATATATCGATCTCTATAATTCTCTATGTAGATACAGATACTGTAAATTAAGCACCCCTTGATTACTCTCACAATTGCATTCTCTGTGGTGTTGATACTGTAGCGCTCACCATGGTGTTGTTTGAATCTCTGCCAGGACACTGGAGTTTTTGGAGACGCTGCTCCGGCCGTTTACATCGCAAAGACGTTGTTTCAATCTCTCTGATTAGTAGTTCTGTAGAAAGCCGAGACCAACCTTCAAGTTCAGTGACTTAATATCCGCTGCTCAGGATGTGAGAAAGGAGGTCATGTTTGCAACTTATGAAGATTTATGATGTCTTTTTTGTTTTTTCTCCAACATCTTTAGGACACAATTATATCATCCCCCGAATTCCACATTGCAGCACACGATTCAGTATCCAGTGTTATATCCTTGAACATGTGTTCGATGTACTCGGGCATGAAACTACCTGAGAGCTACACCAAGCACCGATCCATGTGTACAAAGTGATCTGTGTTCGCGTTTCGGCGCCAAAAACCAGTTGCGGTTCGGCGCCTTGGCATGAGTTGAATGAGTGGTTGGGTGGATGAGCTGTTGGGGAAACTACAGCTGTCGCCAGGCAAGGCGTTTGCGCCCGGAGCCCAGGTATGACCAGGTGCTTTGCTCCTTTGTTCAACAATTCAATGTCTCATGCTGGATAATTTTTCTATCAGCCGCCTGTGTGCGCTCTCTCGCACCCCTTGAGAGGAGATTTGTTGGGTTTTGCTTTTGGATATGTTGGCAAGAGATGTTAGGCTTACAGTGACATGTTGATTTCATATGCACTATAATATAGCAATAATACAACAAACGTTAACGTTGTTGCTGGTTTCTAAGCTAGGGGATTCTAGGGCTATTTTGTCACGTCGCGTGCTGGTTGATTCCGTGGACATCTTACATGTGATTTTCGACGGAGTGTGCAATTGGGTGCACTGTTTCGTGAGTTGTGCGTTGATGTGCATTGCAGTCACAGTGCTTCGAGTGTGTATCTAGGTTTGCCTGAATGATTGTTTTGGGTGTTGGGTCTTGTTCCAACTGTCCGTCTTGGTCATCGGCTGCTTAGGTTTGCGGCTATGGCACGGATGATTTCCCTGCCTTCTTTACGTTGGTAGCCCCGGCGGGAACTTGGACCCGGGTATCGTTCTGCCTCAGACTGCCAGGTTGCCCCCAGTCGTTTGATGATAGATCACTACCGGTCACAAAGGTAGATATTATGTATAGATACGTGGGATTATTTTGGATCTTCTATACCCTTGTTGTTGGGGTTTTGGGGCCACGGAATGAGTTGGTTGTTTTCTTTCTTTCTTTTTCCAGGGGGCAAACTCGACACAGCGACATAACTGTCCGCCTATACTGTGCAGTCTCAGGCAAACGTTGGTTGTGAGGGGTGGAATACAGTCTTGACGTCAATAAAAAATTAGCTTGGAGGCCGTCGCTATTATAAAGACCCCGTCTATGATAGAAAAGTAAATCCCCACCAAAAATGTATTGGAAACCATTTCTATCTATTTGGGGATCACTATAGGTTGGAGGCCTCACACACAAACAGGGACCACTTGGCCACTTGGCCCTCGTGACCTTATTCTGGGCAGCCAAGATATAGGGTCTTCGAACAAGTCATGCCACCACCCCTGGTCAAGCCTTGGGGATTAGGGGATGCAGATGAACAATGTGCGTTCTTTCACAAAGACCAGAGTCAGATTGATGGTGATTTGGGATTTTCAGTTCTTTTCGGGCAGGTTTAGTGAGAACTGGACCTGTCTGTTCAGAAGAGTAACGTAGATCCTGAAAAATTGATGACCATTGACCAATTAGTCCATTCAAAACTACTTTCCCTACGGACCAGGTCTGGTGCAAAGTACAAAGACCTCGTATGAATGACATATGAATAGATCTCATACGATCTCATCATGACCAGGTCCACTATGACGGACGACCTCGGGTTCGTACTCTCAGCTTTGTGAACTACTAGCGATGCCAGAAGCTACTCGTAGCGTCCTTGCTTCTTGCAGCGATGGCCTCCACCGGTCGTAGCGTCCTTGCTCCTAGTAGCGATGCCAGGAGCCCCTAGTAGCTTCTTGTTACTAGTAGTAGGGCCAGGAGCCTCTAGTAGCGTCCTTGAGCGTCCTTGCTCCTAGTAGTAAGGCCAGGAGCCCCTAGTAGCGTCCTTGCTTCTAGTAGTAGGGCCAGGAGCCTCTAGTAGCGTCCTTGAGCGTCCTTGCTCCTAGTAGTAAGGCCAGGAGCCCCTAGTAGCGTCCTTGCTCCGATCGGTTCATGTTGACCAGAGTGGGATTCCAAGCTGCTCCGGTCACTTCGCAGCCCTTAGGCCTACGAGTGGCTTGCCCACCAGCTGCCGTGGCAGCCTTAGAGACAGATGCCAAGCCAGGTCGGCTGTGCCTCGACTGTCCCTGTTTGGCAAATGCCAGCCGATTTTGTGGGATCAAACTGGATCAAAGACGTCGTTAGTGTTTTGGACTTGAATGGAGTTGTTTTGGGTTTTACATGAGTTTGTGAGTTGTACTTTCTGGGTTCAAGGGTTTTTGTAGAGTTCTCCGGTCCAGGTGAGAGTGAGTGCTGGGTCTTTCTTCAACACCAGCGGTGCCTCACTGGATGCTTGAGGTGTGGACAGCCCAAGCCAGGCGGTGTGGGCGGATAATGACACTTCGTAGCATCACCACGACACGCAGCGTCAGGTTGGACCAATGTGCATATGAATACTGTTGGTAAGATGGCGTGGTCCACACCTAAATACCTCAAGAAAAGACAACTCTCTCTCTGTCTTCTTTTCAAGCTGTGCTTCAAGGCCTTCTCGGGCCGGTTTGGGAATCTTGTTGCCTTCTGACATGTAAAAGGGCTGCGAATTCGACAACCCACATGCTTGAGATGAGTGATCAGCACTCCTCCTAGCTTCTTGAAGCTACTCTTCACTGATTGATCCTGCTTCTCCTGTCCGGGTACTCCCGGTCCTAAGACCATTCTTCCCGCACAGACAGGATAGACACTGATAATCAGTGTTCAACCCAGCTCAAGCCCTTTATTCCAGCGAGATGTTCTATCGCCAGCGGTGATGTCTTTCGTAAGGCAGCTCAGGCCATGATGATACGCACGAACAATGCACCGTCAACGTTGAACCAGTGTTCACTGCGGTGCAAACCATAGCCAGCAACCCTTCTTCAAACTTCGACTTGGCCAACCAGGCCTTGTGGCACAAAGCAACTCAACCCAGTCTTTCAAGCCTCTCAAGGTTATGATCCGTAGTGAGCCAACCTACGATGCTCTCGTGTCCTGCAGCTTCCGAAAAAGGTTTCGGAGATGGACTTCCCTCGAGCACCGAGCAGCGTCCTTCTTGGTGCTTTCCCCCTCCCAACGGATGTGGAAGACGTCCCACGGAGTTAAACATGACGTGAATGAACGCCAGAATAATGGGTATACGGTATTTCTGCAGTTGGACGTCCGCAAAAAACGACCTGCAGCATGCCTTCTTTAATGATCTTCAAGAAGACAACTTTAAATGACCTTCGTAGTGTGTGGCTTCCTGTCTGCGTGTCCGGCATGTCGTGTTTGGAAACTTACTCAGACTCAGATGCTTCTGTCAGGCAGGGAACCCATCAGCGAAGCAGATTTGCCGCCGTGGTTCGTGCAGGTGTGCTCAAAACCTCTTTTCCCTCTTCCTCCTTACCGTTTTCTTCTCTTTCCATTTCCTCTTCCATCTCAACAACTCCTCCTCCTGGATGACGTGCATAGGCTGCAAAGCTAGCTGCCTGGCACCAGCTCGCCATTGGCCATTCGACGGCGTCGCATCATGGGTGCAGGTTGAAGTGTTTGGAAAGAAGTTTCTGGCGTTGGGCTCATGGTAAGAGGGCGGTCCACACCCAAACGCTTCAAAAAGCCCATTCACTTCACTCCAACCCAAAAACACAACTCTCTCTGTCTTCTTTTCAAGTTGTGCTTCAAGGCCTTCTCGGGTCGGTTTTGGGAATCTTGTTGTCTTCTGACATGTAAAAAGGGCTGCGAATTCGACAGCCCACGTGCTCGAGGTGAGTGATCAGCAAATACATATAGTATATCATATGGCATTGAAAAGCTTCCTTTTTGGATAACACACAGTCCTCAATCATAGATCATCCAAAGACCGTTCGACTAGATGTCGTGAAAGATGTTCGTCGAGAACAGTCCTTGAAGATGAGGGAAACAACATAGGTGCCGTGCGGGATGTTCGACCGCAGAATCCAACTCTTGGGTGGCCGACATACTAGGAATCCCTGGGCTTGTGCCATCTGAAACTGCAAAGGATTGGTTTCTGCACTTGTTTTGTTCTCAACGCCAGCCCTCCCGCACCCTCTATGTGAATCACAATCAACAAGACCTGTTTCGAGCGGCCCCAGCAGAACTTTATATTGGAAAGTACGGACAGATGACAAGCACATTGAATGGGTAACGTGGTATCGTTTCATGTAAAGTAGATCCGTCCATTCTGTTTTATCTGCCTCCACTGTAGCCGAGGCTACGCAATCCTACTCTAAGCTACCCCGCTCTTTGTGATCTTAAGGATTGACAATATAGGACACTGGAACAAGACAAGGACGGAAAGAAAGGGTTGGTAGATAGCATCTTTCCAATCTATTGCACTCGACTCCAAGCCATGTTGTATACTGTGGATGAATCCACAAGAATGAAGGATTACCCTGAGGGTATGATAGGACGAAGAGGGATGTATATATATATATGTTTATGTAGAGCAGAGAGAGGTATGGTGGAACATTGTATGGCAAAGCAGATTTCTACCTGCCTGGACACTGAGGGGTTTAGTTTACCGAATCAATTCTCACCTGCTCGCCGAACTGCCGCTGGATCACCTGGCGGAGCCGTGGGCCGCGGAGGCGGCAGAACTTCTACAGAAGCAGCTGCAAGTTCAGCTGAATTCGGTGCTCAACTCAGCTGAGGGTGGGGAAAGTCCGAAAGGTTCATGGTGAATTTGTCATTTTCCGTTTCTTGGAACCTGACCGTTTCGGGTGCGGATGCCGCAAAACCACCGGGCTTTCAGTGCTCAGGGCATGGTCTTGGCGGTGCCTGTGCCGGAACATTTGAGCGCGGAGGGAAAGGCTGTGGAAGAAGCCACCAGGCCGGTGGGTCTTGGAGCAGCAGAGGCAGATATAAAAAAGGAACGAACAAAATGTTCCCGATTCTTCTGGAGTACATCATGCAACATCATGTAGCATCTTTTGAGGCACTGGAACATTGCCCTCTAAATTGAATTGATGTGTCTCAGTTGCCAGGGTGGAAATGCCAGGGTGGAAAAGATGCATTTATAATATACCCAGAGTCTCTGGGAATTTATTTCCATCCTCAAATTCCGAAGACTGTCAAACTGTCCTGTGTGCTTTATTTTTTTTTCCAGGGAGCTTTCGTTGCCCTGATGTGTCCGGTTGTGTTGATGCAGGACTGCCGTGGAGGAGAGCGTCAAGCAGAACATCAAAGGCAATGAGGTCGGACAACGGACCGGGTGTCATGTCCTTCTTGGATATTGGAAGATTCCGGTAAAGGCTGAGACATGTCCATGTTGTTTGTTTCTTTTAGAATAAGAACATCCCACCCGTTCTTCAACACGGACACCCGGACGGTCAGCCCGCGGAGATGCGTCTGGCCCAAAAACGATCCGCCAAAAAACCACCTGTCGCAGCAGACGCACCAGGTGACTCCCTTCCTGTTGAAGCGGATCAACGAGCTAACCCAGGGGGAGCTGGGGAAGCCCGAAGACTGGAGGACCGGACGAGTGGGGGTGGGGTGAAGACCTTTGCGTTATATAATTGACATAGCTGGCAGTACTTGTAGAATCCAAGCCAAGAGAGGTTTTCAACCAGATTGTGAGTTCGCTAGATGTTCAATATGCTGGCATGCAGTGGTTGCGACTCAGTGATCCTGCTGTGGTGTTACAAACATCCAATATAGCACAAGCATTGAATTACATAAGATTATTCTCTCTTGATTTGAACATGCAACGAATAGAACAGAGGACGTCATGAAGCTGAAAAGTGCTGAATCCTGCATGTTTAAGAGATTGATGCCCACCCCGTGGCTTGTGGCTATATTCATTTGGTTTCTGATTTGATGGGGTCCGTACTACGTACGGTACTCGTACGTTGTTAACACACGGAGATGACACTTCGCAAAAGCTGGTAGCGTCCGAATCACGTCCGAATCATGTGAAGCCTTCCGGCAGAGTTGTTGCATGTGACGAAAGAGGGTGCATAGGGACCCTACAGTTGCCACGCCGCAAGAAGCGAAGAAGCGAACAGCCGTCGAACACTGGCTGACCTTTGAGGTCGCTTCGAGCCAATATTGCCCTTGTGAAGCACAATGCAGAGGCGCATCGGATGCCGCCGGAACGAGACGCATCATACCCGGTGGTCTGTGGGGTTCGTGAGACGCAGGTGTGGTGGCAGTCTGTATTAAGGTGGGGAAAGAATCCGCTAAGATCCAAACACAAATGCAACGGTTCAGAGATGTTCAACATGTTCAACATAACTCGTCTTCCAGAGGACCATTCTAGCTCCAAGTCCCGTCTTCGGGCCGCTTCTCCAGCACAAGGCAACCAAACGATCCCATGGAAACGATCCCATGGACCCCGAACATCACTGCTAGAGCAGTCGGACGACCTGGGTGCATGCGATTCTCCAGGGTCTATGGGAGTTTTCGGGGGCGTCCTGGAGAGGCCAAGCAGAACAACACCCAGCAGAACGTCGTTACGACCATTGACCATCGTTTTTCTACCCCTGGACTCTGGGACGTTTCTTCGGTACACCGCCGCTTTCCACTGCCACTGGCATTTTTCCGCATTGGGTCACTGGCAAACCGTGTTTATTGGTTCCTTGTTTTTGGGATTTGGATTCCTGCGACTCGTGTGACCGGTCCTAGGTCGGTGCTTTGATGGCCGTGGAGCTCGCAAAGCTGGGTCGGCCAAAGTTGTAAAAAGCAGCGGAACCGCAGGAACCACAGGAACCGCGGGTGAGGTTGGAGGGACGGTGCTGGGGAGTTTACGCAACTAGAGATGACTCATTCATGTTTTTTTTTTTCATGGGCAGATGATGCATCATGCATTGCATGATCATGGGAGGTCGTTTGGAGGAAGAAGCTCCTTGAAGAAGCCTTCGAAAGAGCTTGACAACAGTCATATCGAGATGCTTCGTATGGATGATCAGTGGAGGCTACTGAGGTGAAAGGACCCATCTTGGGAACGTAAAACATCGCCATGACGCCGGCGTTTGTCGGAGAGAGGTGCAGGTGCCAGGTGAAAGAATCGTGCCACAAACAGGCAGTAAGTCACTCAAACATTGGGTGGAGGATAGCTTACACTATGTCCTTATATTAAGTGTTTTTGTTCTGTGGTTTTCCTCATGTCTTTCCTCATTTGGACCGCCATGATTCTCCACTTCGGCCGTCTTCTGCGGATTCAGCCGTCTCCGATGCTTCGGCCTGCGCGCCGTCCTTCAGATGTCCGACGTGGCAGCTGCCAAGCTCAGGGGGTGCTGTGAACATGTTTGTGGAACAGCTACCACCTCCACTCACACAGGAAATTGAATCCATGAAGCCAGCCACAAGCTCCCTGACTAGATCATATTGGCCAGATGACTGAAGACAACCTTAAAAACAACCTAGTCCAGACTGATGTTCAACGGTCCAGAAATGCCAGAAAGACGTGGCATGAATGGCCACGCACCGGTGTCTATGGCTTCGCCTCGCAATCGTTCCATGTTGCCTTTGCTGCTGGGCTGTGGGAGGCTCTGCGTGGTGGAGATACCAAAAAGACAGGAGACACCGAATTTCGCTGCTGTGAAGCGGGGGGGGGGGGCAAGAATTAGGCAAAGGCTGTTTTGCACCAATGATTGGTGCCTACAATGGCCTACCATTCATTCCGATCCACCGAACTGAGCATTCTTGGAGCCTTTGACGTCCTTTGGTCTGTGGGTGAATGAGCTGGCAGCAGCCCTACCCAGCAAGAGCTCTGCCACTATAGATCCGATCATATCTGATCTGACCGCTGGCCGGGTGTGGGGCAGCACCACCACGAGGGCATCTGTGTTGCGAAGCAATGTTGAGCCCGCGTGTCGCAACACATTTGCCGAATGTCAGGGCGCGCTTTTGGCCATCCCACTTTGCGTCAAGTGGACAGTGAGACGATGGGCGCCCCGTGCGAGCTCACTGGGCGTCCGAAAGGATTGCAGTGCTCCCCCGCGGGGTGGCAGTTGGGCTCCTGCGGCTCTTGTTCGTGCACGCAGTAAAAGGCCCAGTACCTCATCAAGGCCTATTTTGTCCTATCAAGGAATGTCACTGCGGCTCCGAAACTTTGTTCACTGCAGGCCTCAGCAACTGTGCCTTTTTTGCTTGCAGGTTCTGATACCTTTTGCAGGTTCTGATGTCCTGACACATATCTGACCTGGTCATCAAAAATCCATTCAAGATGAATAATGATACAACATGATGCAGCTCTTGTCACGGATACTCGTACCTTCTTGCCCTTGTCACAGACTGTGGAGTCGGCTCAGCCTTCCGCAAGGGTCTGTTGACTGGAAGTATTCGACCATATTCTACCCTTTTCAACATGCTGCGCCCGAACCAACCGTGCCCCGCAGCGAGCACCTGCGTTCCCCCAGACCGCTGGATTTCCGAGCGACGTGGCCCCCAGGAGTGTCGCTGAAGTGCACGTGCTGCGCTTCGTCTCCATCTCGACCCTCACCACGTCCAGTGCCCAGAGCTTGGAGGGCGCCGAGGAGTCCGAAAAACCGCCAGTTCCCAGCACGAGCTCCACGCCGAACGTGAACGCGGTGGAGCAGAACGTGAGCTCCACGCAGTTGGCTGCCCGGTGACCAGAATTGGAGCCATGTGAATGTGAAATTCAGAGTTTTTTAAAATTATTTTTTAGTTGATAGTTTCTAAGATACTGTTCAGACCAACAGAATTGTTTGGGTAGATGGACATACTGGATATCGCTGAGAGGCAAGCGCACCAAGTGATTGTGGTGAACTGCAGATGTACCCGCTGTGATGTATTATGATATATTATGATTATAGTTGTCCAATCTGATTGCATGCACTGCATGCACAATTATTTTGTATTCAGAATGCTTTCTTAAAAAAAGCTAGATGCAGCTGAGCAGCTCGGTTCAGCACATCAACATCATCTATATGTTGGTGGATTGGAGGGAGTTTACTCCACAAGGGGATCTTGGTCATGCCAAGTTGCTCCGCCTCAGAGTCCAAAAGACTTAGAGGTTCCGCTTTGGGCTGAGGCTGAGTCTCAATCTTCGAGCAGCTGGAATGGCTCGGATGGCTTGGCGGGCGACACGGCATATGTCGTTCCCTTCCACTTCTCCTGCGCTCGACGGATGACCTGCCCGAAGCCCTGGGAGGTGCAGCATCGCTCCAGCTGGTGGCTTGGAAAGCAGCAAGAAAGCAGCAGTGGCAAGCGGGGGAGAGGTGGAAGTTGCAAGAACCGCGTAGGAGGCTCAAAATACTGAGCCATCTCAAAGTGCCTTCAATCTCTCCTTTACCAATCAAGTGGATCAAAAAAATCATAGCTGCTGACAGGAATACCATTGCAGCTGGCCTATTGAAGCGAGCTAGTTGCTCTATCCATCACCTTGAACTCTGGTTGTTTCAATTTTTGTTTGGTGTGAGCAGGTGGGGGATGGGTCATGTTTCTTGTACCTCGTACAATCAGAGAAAAGCCATCGAAGAACTAGTCAAACATCCAGAAAAAATGGCTATGACTCTCAAATCCACCATTCTCTTCACCATCAGAGATGGAAAGGAAGAAAAACCCTTCAGGCACCACTGGGCTTCTCTGTGCTTGCCTCTTGCAGGTTGATCGTCCTGCTGTGTCGTGATGACCTCAATGGGACCTTCCTGATGCAGAAGACCCGCTCCTGCGATGCTCGTCGTTCTTCTCCGGTGCCGTGGACCGGCTGACGGACCCGCGTGGGTCTGGAGGGTGAGGCAAATCCTTCAGCCTTCCGTTGAAGCCTAAACCCTCAACCCCAACGTGTTATGACGAATCGATCAAAGTCTTCAGAAACGCTCACTTGGTCTCTTTATACATGTCTATACAAACAAATTGATTTCCTTAGTTTGACGCTGTGTTTTCGACATTTCAGCTGATGCCTCACGCTCTCTCTCTCTCTCTCTATGCCCGGAGGGCGGTGGACGGAGCCTGGAGGGCTGCTCCAACGCGAGTCGACCCGTTAGTTCTTCGGTTTAGGGAAACACAGGGTCAGAGGTTCCGCGCTTTGGAATGGTTCACAGAGGTTCTGCGCTTCCCGCCTTCGGCTTCAAGAGATGGGCTTCAAGCAATCTGTGACAGTCTCTCAGGTCTTCTCACGTCTCTCCTGTTCGCCATACACACTGCCGGCAGTGTTGTTCGTGCAAGACGTTGAAGTGGTTCTTTAGGGAGACACCCTGGCCCAATGGGTAGACAAGTCTATTTTCATCTATTTTCCTTCGGCGTCGAACTGAGACATACTCCGGCGTGAACATCCATTGGTTGAACCGGGGGTGTCTGACTGTTCATTCGACCCTCTGAAAATGCCAACTCGGAATGTGTCCACTGTCTACACGAAATCGTGTCCAAACTTTCCGGAGCTGCAAATCGGAATGTTTCTTTGATTCTTCAGAAGATGTCAGATTCTTCTGGATACTTCTGAGATGGCACTAAGGAAATGAAGCAGGTCTAGTGACCATCCCTGGCCAGGTATTATGACTGGGGGATGTTGTGTCATTCAAAGTGAAGGGACCTCAAAAACCTCAAAACCTCTAGACCTCTGATATCATCACAACCCCCTCTTCAGGATGAGAAAAGCAAGTTCACCAAAGACCCCAACTACGAGCAGCTGGTGCGAAGGAGCTTTGGCCCAGATCAGTTCGAGTTTCTTCTCGAAGGAGCTGAGCTCTTGAACCTGAACCTGAACATGTCCTATCGATGCATGGCAGCAGGTGAGAGTGGCAGCCTGTAGATCATCCTGAAGATCGTTGGCAGCACCCCGCAATCATGTTTAGAGTTAAGAATGATTGGACCCTCCATAGCAAGGGTTGGATCCATAGCAGGGTTGGATCAGCGGTCCGGCCCGGATTCTTCCTACCTCTTGGAATCTCCAACCGCTCCGAGCAGTTTCATGAAGCTAAACCCTGGGATTCTTGCATCTAGTCTGATATGACAGGCAAGCGGATCGAAACACCAAGGCAGGAGGACTTCAGTCCATAGCCCCAATATATGTGTGTCCTCATCTTCTATCTTGCAGGGATGAAGTGGCTGCGGAAGCCCTGGAGCCGGGTTCCCACAGTTGAACCGGTTTTCATCTTCTCCTCTCGGTCAAAGAACTATCAGAACATATACCCTACGGCTCCAAGCACCTTCTCAGAATGTGTTTGGGGAGGGTTTGGAGGGTCCAAATACCTTCTGAGGAGGTCGTTGGAGCCCCAGGGATAAGATTGATCATCTCTATAGTCGGGTCGTTCTCCGACAGACTCGAGGAAAAGCTTGCTGCTACGCCTTGCCCTTTCGAGCCAACGTGCCAGGGAGGCTGGGATGTGGGGGGATGTGATGTCGGAGGTCGCCATTGTCAGTCCTCGTTTGGCCTTGTATAAAACGTCCCTTTTTAAACCCAAAGTGACCCTGAGATCAACTTGATGGCCTCATGGCTCTTTTTGCTTGGTGCTTTTCACTGCCAAGCTGCCGCTCCACCAACTTTCTTCGACCAGCGTTCCGTCCTGGGTGTTTGGGGTCCGACATCCCTCGTCGCGTCGCCACAAAGCCGCACAGGTATCACCTGAACCTTGCCTGGCTCCGGGAGGGCTTCACCGGTGTCTCCGAGCGCTTGCGGGGCTGGCAGCCCATGAACTACCGCAGCGGCTAGACATGGACTGCAGCGGATTTAGGACAGAAGTGGCCAGCGGAGTTAGGACAGATCCACCATCGAAGCACCACGAGTGTGGTTTCTGGGCAGAAGTTCCAGATGGTGACGTCCGAAAGATCCCGAAAGTGTCCTTATTTTTCAGTGTTTGTTGATGGTTTGATCGAAACCCGTGGTGAAATTGGTGAATTACTTGTATTGATAAGACGGGGAAGGTTAGGAAACGAAGCCGAATGAAGCCTGAGATCCACTCACTCAGTTCAATTGGTTGAATAGCTGTCACGGGGTGACAGTATGTGCATGGTGTTGTTGCAGATTGTGTGGGATGTGGTGCGGCGCACTGTCCGTGCACTGTGGTCCCAGAGTTGGTGGAGATCAGCCTGACATGAGTATAATGAATGAAGTCAATGAAGTCTAATTCTTTTGCGTTCTTTTGGACAATTGGAAACCATTTTGCCATGTTGTTGATCTCAATGACCCAGCACCATCATGCACCATCCAGGTATACATTTTGGAAGATGCATGACGAAAAGGGGAGAGCTCCGCTGAGTAATGCAAATTCCAACGAAGGTGGGACACCTCAGTGGGTCCTTGGCCAGTCTTGGTTGGTCCTGTTAGAACTGCTATAAGATCTATAACCCCAAAACACATTTCAATCAGCACCTTCTTTTCAAGTATTCACCTGCTGCCACTACACCGCATGTGGGAGTGGATCGTAGAAGTCTTGCAGGATGGACTTGGACCAGCCTGTAGGGGTAGGATGTTTTAACTCACAGTCCATGGAAGTTGAAGTGGATGGTATGGTCCCTTGGACGACCACTTACCTGTAGAAACAGGGGATTGTCCACTTCCACGTTAGTGAGTCTGAGTGTAGGCTTGCTGCACGGAAAGAGGACATGTTTGTCACTCTGATTGATCCGGGGACTGGTATGGTCATGCACTTTGGAGCCTGAGCATTTGCTTTTGCAGTCGATTGCACATCCAAGTTCCTTTGCAGCTGCTGCTTTTCCGGCTTCCTCACCATCCTTTGCTAGGTCAGGAAGATGCACAACCCCAAGTGTGCCATTCGACCGTGACCATTGCTTACCCCTGGGTAGTGTGGAACCGCCACGTAGCACACACGAACTGTGCCACGTCCCAAGGTCCACTGGACCAGTCCTTTATTGAGCTGGGCAACTCGAGCGCCACTCGGGACATCTTACAGTCCTGGCAGAGGGGCGACCACCTGCCGCGCTGCAACGTGACCTCCGAGCCACCCGGACCGCAGTCACCGGGAAGCGCGATGCTTATTCGGGGAGCCATCCCAAGAAGTTTCTCTGCTCGGAGCCAAGCGTGGGCTCGGTGGTCTTCCTTTCTCGTTGGGATTGGGAGAGTGTTTTAAGTGTGGGAAAATTCGAATGAGAGGCTGACTGTCGAGAAATTCAGTGCTTACAGATGCTTACAGTATATTCTATACATGAGTGAACTAAGCCGTGAATCTTAAATTGTCGTTACACGGGAATCTCCTGATAGATAGAAAGCCGAAAAGCGGTGCACGCCACAACTAACCATGTGGCCTTGGCCAAACCAGCAGGTTCCTGTCCTTTCAGCAGGTTCCAGCTGTCTTATTGGTGGAACCTACTTTGTTTTCCACCAAACTAGGCGTAAAGAGCCGGGAACCCGGGTCTCATGCTTTCTTCTCAGCACGACTCCTGAAGGAGGGTGACTTTTCTATCAGACTACCCGGACTACAAGCGGTTTAGACTTCGTGACTGAAAAAGAGTGGAAACATCGATGAATTCTGCAGGCAATATGAATACCTGTGTGGTCGCTGGCTTTTCGGAGCCTTGGAGAAGAGAACATCGGGCCGGTTGAGGTCGGGCAGTCTGCGAGGTTGGGACAGGAGCGGGGTTTCGTCGAAGCACTCACCAGGTCCCAGATCCGAAGCTCCGACCTGTGGATGTGGGGGGGGCAGTGTGGCAGTGAGGCTGGCTGGTCAAAGAGAGAGATGGTCAAGCTTGTGTTGCACGACATACTTGTAGTACGACTTTACAGTCAAGCTGCACATTCATTTCCACTAGGAAGCCGCCTTCCCAAAGCCCCACCCCTCCCCAAAAAGACAAAACAGATGGAGCTGCAGGCTGCAAAAGAAACACAGTGTTCAAGACATTGACAATGCAATTTGAGTGTACTGTCAGGGATTCCTGACCTCCAGATGAACCCCTCGGTCACCACTTAACCAAAGAAACCCATGCTTCCTTCCGACTAAGGCGCCGTCTCGGAGACTAACACCATCTTCCCGTGGGGGTCGGAGGGTCAGCGGCTGCCGATGGAGTTCACCTACCCGATCCGAAAGTGGACCAACTCGAGCCGCTACCGCCGCTGGCTCCGCAAGCGGCGCATGGGCCAAAGCGAGGGCGGAAGTAGGCGGGGTAGGTGGAGTTTAGCGGGTGATCTACAGAACAACTATGAACGAGACACATGGATGTATAATATGATTCTGTTTAGTGTACACACATCACTGTGCTGGGTGGAATCTCAGCAACGAAGCTGGAAGGTGTATTTATGTTTGTCTGGTGAGAGGGTGGCTGTGCGACTCCGTGACCAGGTCTTGTTTTCGGAACTCTGTAGGTGTGAGGATGGTATGTGGTGCAGTTACTAGCATGGCTGCCAGTTTGTAGGTGAATATGCTGGCAGCAGCCCTACCCAACAAGAGCTCTGGCACTAGATCCGATCATATCTGATCTGACGAGCGCTTGTCACACTGCTGGCCGGGTGTGGGGCAGCACCACCACAAGGGCGTTTCGCGGGCCATTTGCCGAATGTCAGGGCGGTTGAGGCCAACCCACTTTGTGCCAAGTGGATGACAGTGAGACGATGGGCTAGGTGCTCACTGGGCGTCTTTGGTGTGCTGACAGCTGAGTTCATGCAGGGAAGGCCATCCCATGCAGGCATCGTTGGATGTTCTTGCATGTCATAGTGGACAAGCTGCCTATTGCTGCGCCAATGAACATTGCCCAATCTTCAGATTTCTTTTGGCAGCATGGTGTCCCAACACATGCTTGGTCATCCAAACCCTCCTTACAGGACGGATAAAGCATGATGCAGTTCTTGTGGTTAATGAGTAACGTCCCAACCAAAACAGCTGTGGAGGCTGAAGCAAGCTGATGCAAGCAAGGGTGATTCACTTTGTTTGTCTGTATGTATTGTGATGTATTGTCTTGTTGTATTGTATTGTATGTCGTTGTATGTGATGTGATGTGATGTAATGCAATGGTATGGTATGGTATGGTATAGCATGTATGTACCTGCGTATGTATGTATTTTTGTTATATATAATGTGATAATATATATATACGTAATTACGTAGTGTAGTGTAGCGTAATGTAATGTATGTGTTTAGGTATATGTGTTGTACAATACATGTCATTTTGTTTTGTCCGGCGCGGCGGATCTGAGTCCATCCAAATATTGACCCATATTTTATTGCATGGCTCCAACTTAACTTGACATCAGTTGGAGCATTGCCGCATGCTCGACAGTAGGCCCACCTAACAAGAACTGTTACACCAGACCTGATCTGATGACACGCTCACACCGCTTGACCAGTGTGCCAGTGGTGATTTGGCCGTCCAAATGTCAAGATAAAAGATGACACTCAAGCATCACAACCCCAGAAGTGGCGGGCAATCCCCTTTGCACTCGCATCCAAAGCAGTTCTCTGAAACAGAACTGAACTGGCACAAGCAGGCACCGTGGTGTGCCCGGCTCCACCGCTGGCTCCACGGGGCGTCCGGTCTCAGGTTGGGCTCCCAACAGCTGCCACCTGTCCTTCATCTCACCCGAGGAGGGCGCCAAGTGCCTGACAGGCGGGCGGATGTGGGCGGACTCCGTTTCCGGGGAGGACGGATGAAAGGAGGACAACAAGAAAGAGTAAACAATAATTAGAGACAAGAAATCCATACAAATAAAACAAAACAGTAAGTAGTCTAGTAGTAATTCAATATATTATCTTGGTGTGTTCAAAGGGAAAGAGATTCAAATCCACTTGCGAATGGGTAAAGCAGGGTCAGAATGGGAGTAGAGAGGACGACTGGTCAGGATTTTGGATCCGACTCCTTGGACTGGCGACAGTTTGCCAGTTCTTCAGATCCTTTCAATCTCTTGAGGTAATAGAAGCTATCAGAAACAAGGTTCGCTACTAGTAACAAGTGCATCGCTTCTAGTAACAAGTGCCTTACTAGTAACAAGAAGCTAGTAATTTTTCCCATTTCTCAGATGTGGCGAACCCGTCCGTGGGTGGCGCAACCCCGACTTCAGTTTCTCGAAGCGGGAAGATTTCCCGGTTGCTTTCGAAAGCGAAGGAGGTTGCTTTCCTGGTCGTAGCACCACTGGCTGGGGCATTTTTCTTTCCATCTAATTTTAAACCATTTGATTTTTTCACACCGCGATGTTCTTTTCATCTTGCACTTTCATCGGAGTACTGTTCCTACCAGTGAGGCCATGTCCTACCCGTGGCCTCCGCATCTTCACCTTCAACCTGTGGCGAAACCTGTCTTTGAAGCCCAAAAACCACAGAGTCCATGTAAGTCATTGTCTCGTCTCTTCGTCTCCTGGGTGACCGATCTCGCGTCGCGTCGTTTTCTCCCCTCCCTTCGTCTGCCCGCGTCGCGTCGCGGCCGCGTAGGGAAGCGGATCCTGCTGGTGGGGGACTCCCACCTGCGACAGCTCACCCGTGCGGTGATCGAAGCGGTGTGTGGCAGCAGCCTGGACATCCCCAAGCGGGTGAGTCACTTGGCGCACTAATGGCCTCCAACCTATGAGCGATGGCCTCCAACATCCTCCAACCTAAGAGCGATGGCCCAATGTTGCCGGGAATGGATGGAACCACTAGTTAGATGTGGTGTTCACCTGGTTTAATCTAGATACTTTTGGTGGGTGAAGATCATGCTTCTGTGTCCCGGAACATCCTGCAACCAAGTGTCTTGCAATAGAGTGATTTTTTGCATCTAATTATTTGCCTGTATTGGCAGTGAAAGGAACTGGACCTCTGCTTTGGTAAAGTGTCGCAAAACTGGTTGTCAGCGCATCAAAGCATCACAACAGGTCCAAGTTCGGGGCCGTTTGGAACCAAACTGTTAGACTATAGTCGAACTCGTTAGGAGAACAGACACCAGCACACCGATTGAGATATTGTTCAATGCTGATCTACGAAACCTGATCGACGTGGCAGGCAAATGCTTGCTACCTGACATGGGCCGCTGCAAGAACGTGCAACCTGTCCAGTCAGTTATTGTCCGCGAAAACGGCGATGGGCCATGGGAAACTCCCAATCGCTGAGATTGAAGAAACCATCCTCCTATGCAGCAACTAGTGTGGACATAGGAAACCCAAGTTGGTCTCTTGAGTTCTTGGATCATTCTTCCTGGAAAGGGCACCAGTGCCCCTTGAAATCAGGCAAGAAATTTGCTTCTTAGCGGACGACTACTTGCGGGGAACGCTGAGAGACTTGGCGAACTACGACCTCATCGTTGCAGGGTATAGCCATTGGCACGTGGCCTACAACTTCTGGCCCCTCTCCAAGTGCTTGGACTCAAGGGGACGCGGCACGTCGGACGTCGGACGGTCGATGTGTTCTTCCCCCCCCCTGCCCAATGGGTGGGTACGGGTGGAGTGGCGGTTCTAGGGTTCGGGCGGACCAAGAGGGACTTCGATTTCAAGACGGGGTGAAACTGAGCATCCAAAGAAGAAGTAACCGAGGAAGGATCGCTATTTGGTTTGAGACAGTGGAGATGTGGTGATTCGAATTCTCTGCCAAAGGGCATGTGGAACCAATTATGGTGGGACCAATACAGATGTGCCAGGCCTCCAAAACATTTAAAAACACTACTTTCCGTCCGACGGTTTCTCACACTTCTCACGCCCATTCGTGTGCTGAGGTACATCGGACACCTGAAGGCATTTAGCAAACAGCTGAAAGCACAGCTGGTGCAGAACCCTTCGCTGCGCGTGCGCTTCGCGTGGCACCAGGCCACCGCGATTTGCGTGAAGGATCACAGCCGCTTGGGGGACGCACGTAGCACTCCAAAAATGCAGATCCATAGCCTAGCTGCTCACAAGATCTTCAAGGAGTGCAGGTTCTGGTTGTGGTAGCTGGGTAGGAAAAAAACGGCAAATTCGGTGCAGATTCGACAATTCTGCAAGGCTGGATGCTGATTTCAGAACGATTCCTCAGATCCTGCAGTAACTCTTATCTCTTCTTGGGTGTCATTGAATGTGTGGATGCCGTTTCGCCTAAGATTCTGTTGCTTGCTGTCCCATGCATTGCGTAGTAAGCGCGGGATTTATAATGCATTAGCAGATTGAAACTCTTCAAACTCAGAATTGTCCGACTACAGTGTTTGTTCTGGAAAGAAGATAAAGCAGTTCTTACAATTTATTTGTGCATCATATCATACATAGTTATATCATGTTATATCAATATATAGTTCGCCTCTTCTTCTTCATGGTTCCTGGCCCTTCTTGGCTTTTTGCCTAAAAAACAGCAGCGTCCTCCCCAAAGCAGTTGCCCGGAACCCCGGAACCCTCCCGCCGTTTCGCGCTTTCAGGAGCTGGGAGTTCCGATCATCGACAGCTTTCAGCAGACGGCCAGCTTGACTCGCTCGGGCGAAGGGATCCACTTCAGCTCGGACACGTTGATGCGCAGCAGCCTTCAGTTCCATGGTGGGTCGACACAGCTATAGACGCAGCTATAGCCATGTGGGTCAGAGTGGTTTCTAGCATGGTTTGAACGTTCTACAAAGGAGTTCGGAGTTGTGTGTGTGATGTGTGTTATTTATTTTGTTCAGGGGGAATGCTCGACCAAGGTGGTGCCGGTGTTCAAACTGGCATTCAGATTGGTTAGTATGGTCCTTTGTAAAAACGGCACTGTCACAATTCGTCTACCCTGAGCAAGCAACATGGCTGTGGGGAACAATCCTTCACACATCCCCAGAAAGTCATCGCAGCTTTGGGGTCTTCCCGAACATGGCTGTTTGGACCCATTCGTTTTGAGGCGCAGTGATCAACTGATGTTTGGATCACGCAGGCCATGATGCAGTATAGGTGGCTCCGAAGCTTTCACTTCTCCCAAATCCGAGGTTCCTCCTGCACCTTCTGTGCTGAAGTGGTGAACGAAGCAGCATCACCTGAGCAGCGTGAACCAACATCTTCTTCAACCCCTTGTGGTGCAGAGACGGAGGTCAAGATGATTGAGATGGAGTGAGCTACTCCACCAGGAGACAGCTATAGGCAGCAGCTTTGCAGCTCTGCCAAGAATGTCCTGTGAAAGGAAACCGGGTCCTTCTGGCAATCGAACAATCGAATCCGATATCGGTGCAACAACTACCAAATGGTCCCCAATTCGGATGATCTAATGGTCCGTTCCGCGAACTTGCCAAGCATAGGAACAGAGTCTATAGGCCTATGCCTTAGTGGATGCTACAGCGCTACGATTTTTGTTGCCTTGCCTCTTCAGTGTCATGCCTGCAGCGTCTCTCACTCTCTCTCTCTCTCTGTGTCATTTTGCAGTACAACCACGTAAAACTGCTTGCTGAATCCCTTGACCTTCCACCAGGCCGAAAGCTGGTACCTCGGTGTTTTTGTCTGCGAAGCACTTCCAGACTGCGCAGGTGGCTTCAGGCCGGTCTGACCAAACATTCTCCCTCAAGCCAGTTGTGCTTGTGAAGGATTGGTGATTTGGGGGTTCAAACTTTACATGTGTTGGAGTTCCACCAACAAAGGATTGCCCCACTGGTTCAGGTTGGAGGCATGTTGGCCCTTGCAAATTCAGAAGCCAGAGAGACTGCTCCGCAGCAGATGAAGTGGAGACTGCCAAAATCCACAACAAGCGGAGCATCGAGGAGAGAACGGCAGAGGTCAACGACAGTCAGAGGCCTGATGTGGGCTGAAATGCAAGAGTGCGAGATTATATGGATGCTGGGGATGGATTACTTTGTAGTGGGCACAATCAATTGAAGTGTGTCTTCAAGATTGATCAATCAAACACGCGAAACCCTGACCTTTGGGTGGGGTGGGAATTCTCAATCAAGCTCCCTTTCGAAAGGAGAGGCTGATCAGGAACACGCATTGGTTGCTGTCCCCACACGCTGTCCAGTGGGGCTGTGTCCAGCCGCAAGACCTCAGCCGATCCTTGCAACAAAATGGTCCGGCGAGCCCATGTTTTGTTGCCGTTGGATTTGCATTGAAGACGAGCCGATCAGGATGGCAATGCCATCCGATATCCTAGCCATGGAGCAGCACGCAAGCTGCAGTAGGATGGAGCTTGTGCAACTGAATAGAAACCATGTTTCTTCTCTGAAGCAGATCCTGGTGCTGTTCCTTTGGCTCTGGACGGGAGGAAAAAGGGCCCGGCCTCATGAAGCATCTCAAAAGAGGAGTCCAAGAGGTTCCAACAAAAAGGATTTGCCAAAAGTGTCAAGGTGGGCACACCATTGCAATACCACATGCCATCACATACCGCGTCTGCCAGGGCCAGTAATCACACGACTCAGACCAAGCCATATGCAGACTTTCATTTGCATACGTTTCGCAGGAACTGGTGCACAAGTGCCTGATGTGATCACCATATGTCTGTATATCATTATATATATATATATAGACACATGTGCTGGCTCTTTGGAATGTGTAGTCAGTGCATGAACAAACTCCTCAACGTTGCCATAGATCGGCACATATTGGCACTGAACCATTTCGCCGACTGGAGCGAACTGAACTCAACAGCCATGGCTTCACGTGCCGATGGGGAAGCAAGCACGCAATCCTTGCCACCCAAGGAGACGCGGGTGCCCTCCTCCCGGGCAGACCGGTTCGTTTCGCTTCAGAGATCGCAACGGGAAAAGCCACCTGTGAAGATTCGTGGACATCACACCGCCTCCCGAATTTTGGGGGGAACCCCAAGCTCTTCGATGACATGAAACAGAGACCTGCCGCATGTGTCCCCATGTTCTGAGAAGCCACTGAAGCAAAGGAATCCTTCAATAGCCCATCCCCCATCTCGACATTTGATGCCATTCTTGCATGGCAGGTACCGGAACAGCTCCACCTTTAGTCTTGAGCTTTTGGAGTTGATCATTGGGAATCACTAGAATTAGTAGAGTCGATGAGTTGGAAATTCCACTCCAACTTTCTTGTAGAGACACTTTGCCCAGCCAATTAGCCAGCCCCACTTAGCCAGCTCCACTTAGACTTCAGGATGAGCAAGATGGCGAAAGCGTCGCTGAGCAAAAGAAGATATGGGGGGAGGAGAAGATCGAAAAGTGATCAAAAGAATCTTCCAAGTTTCGAGCAGATGCCATGAAGTGATTTTTATTCACCCTCGGAAGTGATAGACATTCAGGCTAGACATGTTAAATGTCCTTGTCTAGGATTGAGGCGTACATCTTTGATTGATCACGTTCCCATATCGACATTCCCAGGTCGTACGAGGTGCAGTTTGAAGCACTTGGAAGCTTTACGGCTGGAACATAGTGTGGATCTAGAGGGGTGCCAACGCCATGCTGGCTGAAACCAACATATAGAGCCATAGAACATGGCCTTAGTGCTGTGCCAAGTGACTAGAGTAGCCGCCAATCCTAAGAATACTTACAAACGTGGGAGTGTTGCTCTCTCTCTCTCTCTATACCATGTGAAACGTGGGAGAAGCAACTATAATCTCTCGTGCGGGAGAAGCTTTCCTTCAACTATCCTAATTGAACATGTATTGAAATAGAGAGACTTCATGTAAGTGTTTTTTCGTCGTGTCTACCTTCCTTCTTTCCAGAGGTCTAGTAAGGAGGTCTCCCTATGACACGCCCACTATGGGCGGGATGTGCTGCTTGTGATTTTCGGATGTTCCCCTTGTGTATTCGTGCTCGCGCTCGGAGCTCGTGGGTCTCACGATCAGGGAAGGCATGATTCCAACTCAGAGGTGTCCGTTCGTTGTTGGAAGAAGTGTTTGAAAGGAGGTCTCTCCCATGGTGTCCCGATAAATGTTCAATTAAAAGGACACATAAACACATGCTATAAGGGATGCTAGCCGGGTATTCGTTGCAGGTCACCCTTCCGTGTTCATGTCCCTTTTTCAGCTCGTACTTTTCGCCACTGTTCTCAAACGGTTCGATCCACTCGTCGTCCTCGCCGCCAACGCGACCCGGGGCGTTTTGGTCCCGCCGTCGGCGGCGCGCGCCTCAGATTCGTGTCTACTTACGTGTGCGCCCAGCCACCGAGCGGGAGTTGCTGCTGGAGAGTTCACAGGCGCGGCCGACGAAGGGCGAGGATTGGGGGTGGAGGCTGGAAAGGCGGGGTGAAGAGGGTTTAGGGATGAGGCTGGGCCATTTTGGAGAGGGTGAAGATTGGATTTTGCCATTGATCTGCTGTGTTTCTGGACGTTTTGCCCACTGTTCAAGGGAAAGAACTGCGCTCCAATGGCAGTTCACTCAATGAGATTTATCATGGCGGGTCTGGTGTTTTGCCTGGATCCGGGAACAGCGCTGCAGGTGTCCCTCAAAGCGGCTTTCATCGAGCCCCACAAAAAGGGCAGAGTGGTGAGCTGTTTCGTTGGTTGGATCAGTTCATGGGGGTTGGTTTGGGGTTGGGTTGATACCCTGCACATTCGCTTCTAAGAGATCCACTGCCACACTGCTGCCGGGGCGCCCTGCTCGGTTTCTGAAGCTGAGGTGGTCTACGTGGATGGTTCATCAGTGCGGGTGAAGTCTGATCCTCCGAGGCGCCGATCTTCGGAGTTGATGGACCACAACTCATTTTCCGAGCTTTTTTCACACCCAGTTGAGTCCAGATCCTGAGGGCGTCTACAACATTCACAACATTCACAGGACCTAAGCAGGATCCAAGCAGAAGCAAACAGAATTCTTTTCCAAGCCAGGCAGTTCACCTTCGATGGTGTGATGGGCGAAGCCGCCACGCAACAGGACTGGGGCGCGAGTGGCAATGGCACGGAGGTTAGAAACAGAAGGGAGATGTAGTTAAGGAACTCATCATAGAATGGGTGCTGCCTTCCCATGAAAGACTAGCATAGCAACCAGCAGTTGGAAGATGAGTTTGCTCGATCCCGATCCCAGGTTGCTGGATGGGGTCCAATTTCTCGTGAACTCTGTTGGCTTTAGAATGGTCTGTTTGAGGAAATCTTTAAGACACGTTCCAACGCGCGGCCCATGTGCGATGAATAAGTCCAACAGGGTAAACAGAATTTTACCCTGGGACACTGGGACACAAACTGACGTTTCTGTAGCGAGGCCCCACAAGGGTTTGAGATGGTTTAAGTCTGGGGTTTCATTTCGGAGGATTTCTTTTACTTGCACAGTGTTCTCGTTTGGGGATTTCACCTGGAGGCGATCCTTTGGCTTGGGATGGTTTCCAAATCATCAGCGAGGTTTCCACCGGTGGCCTCCGAATCTGAAGTTGCCCGTTTCAAGACATGGGCGTTTTCCAAATATGATCTCAGGTAAAGGCTGTTGACTGTTTGGTGGCACTCTTGATGGCAGTTCACCGGTTCGCAGGTAAAAAAAATGCTTCTGAAATCCACAATCCACCTCTCAAGCGTCTCACCCTGGTCGGCCCCCGCCGGCTGACCCCAGGAGGTCTTTGAGACCGTTGGTCGCTCTGTTCCTCGTTGTGCAGTCAGGGTCGTTGGAGTTGGGATTTATGGCGTGGGTTGACAGGGATTGACTCCAAACCCCAAACATCCATCTGCAGCGTATACCCCTCACAATTCCTGTCTGGGTCCCAAAGATTTTTTGATATTTTTTGTGGCAAGCCTTTTGTATAGGCTGTCACTTGGGCAGACTGAGGAGACAGAGCGAGCAGGATTTGTTGAATCATGTTGAATCTCTGCTTGAGACCGGCAACGGGTCATGACTCATGACCTTTTGCCAGTGTTGTCGGGATGTAGTGAAACATTTACCTTCCTGGGGTGAACTCACATAGGATATCAACATATCATGTCGTGTGCATGGAAGGATTTGTAATGTTTAGTGTGTATACACAGTTAGTAGTACAATCTTAATCTATCTCAATCTGATATTTTACTGGGGCCAGTCCCAGTGAGACCAGTTGCCATCCTCATTGGAGTTTTTTCTCGCTTAGAACACCCCGTCTCCTTCAGGTAG